GTCTAATTATGATAATTAATGTTAATCACTCTAATTAATCAACTGAACAATGGTTTCGATATTATCCACCAACCAATTATAGAAAAGAATATTAATATATAAGAAAAATGATATTGAACTGCCTTTTCTAATATATAAATTGTACTGTGACGTAGTCTGATGTTTAGACGAATCGATCCGTCATATCTTTTTAAGCAAAAATATATATTCTACATTGTAAAATGTTATGTATTTATTTAAGTATGCATGTTTACAAGTATTTATATTATTTTTCTTTTTAAAAAAAATATTTATCTAACAATATCCTACCTTCCTAATATTATCATCCACAAATTCCAATAATTTTTTTTTTTACTCGGTTAAATTTATTGTAAGGAGCGGTAAAAGTAACTTGTTTATATAATGAATTTGAATATAACAACAATTTTGTGTTAGATTTGTAGATATAAAGTTAATTTATAAACATGAGAATAATTCTAACAATAATACTGATAGAAGTTATAGTAATGTTTATCTACCCACGGTGAGCACATGTTCAACTTAATAATATATGAATAGTTGAGTATATTACTTTCTAGCTAGGAATATATAATTAATCTTATATAAATGCATAATGTTGTTATCATATGTTTCGACTTCTTACTATTCATAATCCTATGTGACAAATTATCTTACTATGTAATTTTATGTATTTGATATATTTAAACTTAATAACTTTGATATTTTTTTTATCATTTTTTTATATAATATAATCAATTAATCATCTTTTAACAAGTGTCGATTTGATACCTATTGTATATATAAAATAAATAAATTAATTTATTTTTATTTATTTAGTTAGAATAGTTATCTATAAGTGAAAAATAGACATTCGCATTTAATTTATAAACAAGCATATTAATTTCATAAAATGACAATTTTTTATAATTTAATTTCAAAATCCATCACTACAATTTTTACTTTCCAAATTTTATATTACAGTATATCGATTTTGTTATGAAGTCATCAAATGACTCGACTTATGGAGTACAAATAATTCAATGTACTAGTAGCAAAATAGTTTATATCTTATGAACCTAAGAGCATCATTAAGGCCTTGTTTGGAAGATAGCGGATTGAAGATAAATTAGCGGATTAGACTTAATTGAGATGTTTGACCCGTCAAATCTGTTATTGAGCTTGTTTGGTAAATAGCTTATTTGATAAGCTTTTTGAGCCCAAAACTTTAATTTAGAAAAAACTCATTAGAGCACATTTTTGGGATAGATGATTCACAAAAATTATTTATTTGTAACTTTTTAATTTGTATTATTTATTTTACAATCTACATTGGTTTATGGTGCTAATAAATAATAATATGTCATATATATGATTAATTTATCTAGAAAAATGTAAAATTCATAACTTTTTCATCAAGTGTTAGATAATTTTTTTTTAAAAAAAAATATATATTTATAAATTACCAACTAAAGAATATCAAATGTTTTAATATATTATATTAAAAGAATACACCATAAATAATAAAATGTCATTATTGATAATTTGCAATGTCGAACAGCTATAAACTTTAAGCTATTTACCAAACACTTATTTAAAAACCGCTAATGTAATTCGCTGGTCAAATCCGCTAATATAATCCGTTATCCGCTATCCACCGATATAATCCGCTATCTGCTATCTGTTATCCGCTGATCGCCAAACAAGGCTAAAATATAATAAATATAACTTTTGTAGTAGTAAGCGTTCATAACCAATTAATTAGTTGAAAAAAATATTAAAATTGCTATTATTGTAGAAATTGTTTATGCGATTTTAAGGTGTCTGACTATATCAGTACAACAAATTAGACAATAATTTAAAAAATACTCAATAAAATGAAAAAAATAAAAGATAGAACTAAAATATTTGATAAGCATGCAACTTATATACCCTTTAGTGTAAATTTAGAATAAGTTAATAATAGTAGTAACTATTATATGAATAAATGATAAAAATAAAAATTATTACACTTAATTGATGACGAATATATATATTTTTTCCACATTAATTAAAAAAATTATATTAATCCAATAGTCCATAATTAGATTATTACAAAAACATAATTAATTAAGAAAAAAAATGTTCTGACAGCTCTCCAAAGTCCAAACAGAAAGATAGCGCACTGCTGGCAAATCCAGTGAGAAAGGTCAGATTTTTTTTAGTAGCGAGTCATGGTATCTGGAGCTATGTTTCGACTAATTTGTTGGTCGACCCGAGTTGTACACGGCACACCTGGCAGTGGTGGGTGAGTCTCCCAACAAAGGTTTTCTGCATCCACAAAGACTCGAATCCAACACATTACTTAAGCGACATCAAACTGTTTACCACTTGAGCGAACGTAGATTTTTTTTTTACTTTAACCCTCATCTCATGATGACGTGAGACACGTGTCCCCTAACCTCCCCACCCCACTCCACCCTACCCTACCCTACCCTACCCCACAATGATTGAACCACAAATTTCTCCACCCAATAAAAACACACAAACAATTTCATTTTATTATACTCTCTCAAAAAAGGCCGAAAAAAGGATCTTTTGTAGACAGACGACCCAAATAAAAGAAACAAAGCTTTTGCTCTCAAAATTCACATTTTTCACCTTATTAATTGATATAAATCCTCTCTAATCTTCCCTTTGGCGCAAATAACTGAGAAAAAGGAAAGCCCTTTAATCCGTTCTTATCATCCGTGTTGGTTAGTTATTTTTAGGGTTCTTTGTTGAAATGTGTTTCTTGTACACCTCCTTCATCCCTGAGGAAGCCAAGCTGGAAGAAGAAGGCGCGTGGGAAAAAGAAAGATAAATTTGTTGAAGAAGAATAAAAAAAGAAAAAAAGATTGAATTTTTATTGGTTTTTTTTGGTAGATTTTCAGGGTTGTGTTACATAGATTTTGATCTCTGGTAATATTTAATTTTCTTTAAAATATATCATTTTTTTTTATCGATTTAAGTGATGGGTTTTGTCAAGATTCTTAATTTTTGGCTGTGATTTGGTGTTGTGTTGCAGGGGGATGTCGACTGTAGTTAGTGATTCGATGGTTATAGGCCACGGGCCCGACGGGCCCACCGTTAACGGGCCTGTGAGTATGATGTCGGGCCAGATTGAGGTGGAGTTCGCGAGATGCGATTGCTGCGGGCTTACTGAGGAGTGCACCCTCACATACATAGAGACAATCCGAGAAAGGTAGTTAATTGTTGAGATTTTGAATGGAGTTTGATTGATTTGTTGAGTTTCTTGTTTGTGTTATAAGTAAAAGTAGAGAGAAGAATCAATGAAAAAGCTTTACTTGGTTTGATTGATTACTAGTGTTGATTTTGGTGTTCTGTTTAAACATAGATTTAATCTTCCTCTCTTCTGGGGCCCGGATATGAATCAGGATTATAGTTGAGGAAGTGAATTCATGGGATTGATATTAACAATGTATGTTTTCTCATCTGAAACACAATTGTAGATTGTAGTTGTTGAATTGGGTACCCGAGTGATATGGTTAGCTCGGGAGCCCCTGGCGCTTTGTAGGTATTTCGGCGAGACGTTCAGATATGGAATTTATCAAATGATGCCGTAAATTCGTTTCTGAACTTTTAAACCGAAATACGAGCAAAGCACCGGGAGTTTCCCGCCCGATGATCAAGTTAGTTAATTGATTATTTTGTGTGTGATAAAGTATTAGAGATGATAAAAATCTGTAATACCCATACCTACTCCTTTTATATTTGGTGACCTTGTTGATCAAGACTGCTAGAATCTACTAGAAGGAAACTTCATCTTTCTCGACTTGCAATCATAGGATTTCATATCCCAAATAGAACACTTTTCCTTTTGAATCTTATTTCCTAACTTCATTAAACTTAGGCTTCTTCAGCTCGTAGGGACCTCATGATCCGACCCGAATCTCAACCCTAAATCAATTCACACTGCCTCGGGAGAAGAGCTGAGCTAACCATATCACCGAACAACATGTTGGACATTAGCCTCCTAACATTTTAGGATTTCCTTGAAATGAGTACTAAACTTGGGCTAGTATTTGTATCATTTTAAAGTTTCATTGTGTGCGAATAGGCAAAAATGCATTTTTAGTCTTGTTAGTGTACCGCCACAAGACTTTTAGTTTCAAGGTTCCAAATTTTTCGCCTTTTGGTCATATGATTTAATTTTTTTGCTGCAATTTCAGTCATTTGAGGGTCAATTGCAGCAAAATTTTAAATTACATGACTGAAATTACAACAAAATTTTAAATTATTAGGGCTTAATTTACTTATTAAGCAAAACCATGTTCATTCATCAGGTATGGTGGCAAATGGATCTGCGGGCTTTGTGGGGAGGCCGTCGAGGATGAAATCTTGAGATCACAGAAGCTGATAAGCCTGGACGAAGCACTGGCTCGACACATTAGCTTCTGCGGCAAGTTTCGGGCCTCGGATCCGCCCGAGGACCCCACCGTGCATCTAATTCGGGCCATGAGGCAGGTTCTGAGGAAGAGCCTGGAAAGCCCAAAATCCATGAAGTCCATACCGAGTATCCTGACCAGCAGAAGAGGAGGCACTTTGAAGGGCCCGGTTTTCGCCTGATCCGAGAGCTGCATGCCGAGTTTGACCCTTGTGGACTCGTCGGTTTACTGCCGATTGGATGAAGGTTGTGAGTGAGGGTGGAAGGTCCAAACGGTAAATTTAGGGGGGGAAATGACTTAAAGATCAAGAGAGATGGATAGATGAATGCAGAACTTAATTGTTAATGTCTATCAGTATATGTAATATTCCTCATGTTGTGGACTGAAGATTGAAATGTAACTTGACATTTTCAATGTTTAGTAACAGAATTTCAAAATTCATGGAAATTTCTAGAAGATGACCCATGTTTTCATATATTAACTGCATTATAATCACTCACTGAGGTTTTTAATATTAAAATCAGTGTTCTAGAAGTCGCTAGACGCCCATTAGGCGCCCGACCAGCGCCTAGCGCCTAGAGCACCTAGTCGGGGCCTAGAAATTATAATAAATACATTATTTATTTTTTATTTTAACAATTTCACAAATGAAATTATAACTTATAATTAATAATTCCATACACCTAAGTCCCAATAATATTATTAATATTATATTATAAAAAAAACTCCAAGCCAAAATAAGTATATAACCACAATATAACTTCTTCTCATTGTAATTTTAATAACTTCTTCTCATTGTAATTTTATCAAACACATTATCTACATGTTATGTTTTAAATATTACACAACATAAAATAAACATAAAAAATTATAAAATAATAAATTATAAGATTTATTATTTAAACTAAACGCATTTAGTAAAAAAAAAATTGTAAAAACCGCCTAGAACCCGCTTCGGCCGCCTAGAACCCGCCTCAGCCGCCTAGTCCCGCCGAAACTGCGTAGCCGTCGAGGCCGCCTAGGCCTGACTAGGCGCCCGAGCTCGCCCGGCCGATTTTTATGGCCGATTTGGCCAAATCGTAGGCGCTGTACCGGCGCCTAGCGCCTAGGCGGCCGTCTAGGCTGACTTTTCGAACACTAATTAAAATTAACAAACATCCGTATATGTGTGTGTTTGTATTTATGTGTTGATTGGACGATAAAAAATCAAACTTGTGTTACGAGTGTGGCCCACACCAAGTTCACGGGCCTTCAAGCTTATGAGTGTTAAACGAGCCGAATTCGTGCTTGATTTCAAGTTCATTTATTGAACAGGCCGAACTCGAGTCGGCTTGTTAAGGGCTCGAGCTCGACTCGCTTACATGCCTAAATGTGGCCCACACCACGTTCACGGGCCTTCAACTTTCTTGCACCTTAACATCACATCATGATGTTTTGCCCATGGCATTGGCTCGTTTGTCTTATTGTTTGGAGGCCCCATTTGTAATTTACATTTTTTCACAAGAAAATGTTACTTTAAAAGAACAACAAATATCACCAAACAAAACGTTGAGCAGCATTTTTGGTTATATGACATTTATTGTCCATGGTAATAGAATTATTACATTACATGAGCAGAATTTATTGGTTTTATGACATTATTGGTCAAGATGAGCTGCTGCTCACTGCCTTGGTCCCAACTGGAAAATGACGTTTCACCAATAATAATCTATCATTCACATTTCATCTGAAGCCTTAATCGTCTTCTCCACAAGGACTTTGAGAATTTTTTTCCTGCTTTCACTCCTCTTCATAAAATTTCCAAACTAAAGCTAATATCCATGGCAGCTTATGGAGCTCTGCTTTCTCTTACAAACACCATACACCAAATCCAAAATCACCCTCGCCCACCCATTTCCCTCGACAAACGACAAATCGAACCTCTGATAGAAAAGGTTGCTTTCTTGCAAGATTTTCTTGAAAATTATATTATTGATGATGATGATGATGAAGATAGCTTGGAGGGGCGTATGGTTGATGTGGCTCATGAGGCACAAAATATAATCGAGTCCTATATTGCCGATCATATCGAGGCTCGTGGGGAAGCTAACATCATCCGTTCGAACGATGACAACGGGTCTTTGTATGGAGATCTAGAGAAAGTGATGCACGACTTAGATTCCATCACAAAAGACGTGGCTGCTGTTAAAGAGAAGGCGGGGAAAAGAATTGCTCCTTTTTGCACCGAGGATGACGCCATGCTGGGTTCCCATGATGTCATGAACAACATCAAGGATAAGCTCAACGGTCCTTCTAATTCAGCGGGGGACGAGAGTTTCATGAACGACATTATGGATAAGCTGACCAATCAACAATCTATCCGGTTGATCATCGCGATTGCCGGCATGGGCGGCATTGGTAAGACCACTCTTGCAAAAAGTATTTACGAAGATCCACTTATTGTGGATCACTTTTATATTCGAGGATGGGCTACAGTCTCTCAAGAATTTGATTTGAAAGGGATTTTGTTACAAGTCCTTGATTGTTTGAAAAACAAAGGGAGTGCGGACAGCGAATATGAAGAATTAGGACAAAAACTTTATAAAAGCTTATACGGCCAACGATATCTGATTGTGATGGATGACATTTGGGGTACGGATGCGTGGGATGGGGTGAAGCGCTTCTTTCCGAAAAACGACGACGGGAGCAAAGTGTTGATAACCACTAGGCTATCGGATGTGGCTTTTCAGCTGGATGGCCCAGACTACTTCCAAATGCCTTTTCTGAAGATGGACGAAAGCTGGAATCTGCTGCGTAGGTGTGTGTTTCACAAACAAGAGTGCCCGCCAGAATTGGAAGAGATTGGAAAGGACATTGCCTGGAACTGTAGAGGCCTTCCATTGTCAATTGTCGTGATCGGAGGACTCCTAGCAAAGTCTGAACAGACAGAGGAAAACTGGGAACAAGTTTTACAAAATTTAAGCTCGACCGTGAATTTGGAGGAAAACAAGCGTTGCTTTAGAATACTAAAGTTGAGCTTCAATCAACTACCGGTCCACCTGAAGCCGTGTTTTCTTTACATGGCCATGTTCCCGGAGGACGATCGGATTCACGTCCCCACACTCCTCAAACTATGGGTTGATGAAGGATTTGTAAAACCAGTGGCCGGTAAAAGCTTGGAAACAATTGCGAGAGAAGTGTACCTACATGGTCTTGTCATCAGAAATCTAATCTTGGTTCGACAGTGGGGGCGCACTCGAAGAATAAAACGCTGCGGCATCCACGATCTCCTGAGAGACCTATGCGTAAAGGAAGCTGAGAAATACAAATTGTTTCGCACGATGGAAACAACAATGCACAACCCTGAGCACGACCAAAGCTGGCGTGCCCAACGCCGTATTGGCATTCACAAAGCTCCGAATCGTCGACTCCCTAATTTTGTGCAATCCTTATCACGCGCCCGAACTCTGATATGGAATTTTAGTGGAATTTTACCATCTGTAGTTCCCCTTAGATTGCTGAGGATTCTGAATGTATTTTCTATAGAGTATAAATATTCTGGAAAAGAACTATTTCTTCCTGTCAACTTGTGCCACCTGGATGCCCCAAAGGTTCAATTCCGTGCCGAAGTTTTCAACTGTCTTTGGAATTTACAGACGTTAATAGTTGATTTGTCCGTGCTGGACATCTGGCGGATGCCCCAACTCAGACACGTCAAGGTATACAACGGGTTCCAGCTCACGGATCCTCCTTCTCTTCCATTACCAATGGATGATGAAAATGGTGATCGGATGGTGTTGGAGAATCTGGAGACGCTCCAGACCGTAGTTAACTTGAAGTTGGGTGAGGAAGTGATTCAGAGAATCCCCAATATCAAGAAGCTAGGAATAGTATACTACAAGACATTATCACCGCCCAATCTCGATCTCGGCAATCTCACACGGCTACACAAGCTGGAGGACCTTTCATGCACTTCATATCTCTCTCGACGAATTGAGGTGGCGTTGTTCCCGATTTCGCTTAGGAAGCTGTGTTTGCATGGCACGAGGCTGGGGTGGGAGGAGATGGGGACAAAGATAGGCTCGTTGCTATATCTCGAGTCCCTCAAGCTACGCAAGGATGCGTTTGTGGGGCCCGAGTGGGAAACAACCGAGGGTGGGTTCCTTAGCCTGAAATTCTTGCAAATCTGGAACTGCGACCCTACGGAACATTGGAGGGTGGAGGCCACGCACTTCCCGCGTCTCGAGTGGCTCGGCCTAATCGATCTAGACAAGCTGAAGGAGATTCCATTGGAAATTGGGGATATACCCACGCTTAGGGAGATCAGGGTGAGGAGGTGTGCCGACTCAGTGGTGCTTTCTGCAAACAAGATATTAGAGGTACAAGAGGAGTGCCATGGGCAAGTGGACCTTAAGATTACAGTTTGGCTAAATGATGAGCACAAACTACGAAAGGAGAAGTTGAGTCCCAACATCAAGATACTGTCTGAGTAGGCTAGGTGTTGTTCTTACTGTCTTGCGGTTGAAAGCTGTGGAGCCATTTGAGGACACTTGCAGGGCGGCAGCTGAATCCATCTATTTTATGGGAGATCTCTTTTAAGTTTGTGATTTTGCTTTTGATAGCTCTGATGTTGTTAATGCTTGTGCTAGTTTGGCCTTAGATGCACTAGTTGTGTCTAGATGTAGCCGAGAATGGCTTGTCTGAGTAGGCTAGGTGTTGATCTTATGCCTAGTCTTGTTGTAGTGATCAGTGGACCACCGGATGTAGCTGAACTTTGTTTATCTCTTTTGAGTGCAATATATGATCTATCATTTGTTAAAAAAAAAAAAAAAGAAAGAGTCCCAACATCAAATTTTACTGAACTTGGAAAGCAGGCAGCAACAGAATTTTTTTTGGCAAAGTTATTTCTTTTTCCCATTGTATTGTATTGTATTGTATTCTCAATTGTTATTGTAAAAAGTTGACGATGCTGTCACCTCCTCGTGAATGAACGAGAATAAAACTCATATTATTATAATGTTTTTAACTTTGCTCAACCACAAGTATAAAAGGGAAATATCATCATATCCATATTGTACTTGGCTTCATAATTTTATGTGGAAAAATATTATTATATTTTATAATATTGCTCAAATAAAAATTACTAATTTTTATACCAAGTAACTTAAGAATTAGATTGCCATAAAACACACATTTTAATAT